TTACAGATAAGAAGATTAAAAAAAAAAATTAAATTGAAGCATTTATCATTTTTATAAAAATTTGAATTCTTTGAAGACTTCTTCACACCACTATATATATATATATATATATATATATATTGGCCTTTTGGATTATTGAAGTATTCAGACTACTGAAGTTCAGATTATTGAGACTGCATTGTATATAAGTTTACATTAAATGGTTCGATTTTCAAAATATTTTTGCTGCTTTAAGTTTGGTAAGGAGTTTAGAAAATTATCTTTATGGAAAGAAATGTTTAAGCATAACATAATGTCAATGTTAACCTGTTGTCTGATTGTATATATAAATGTGTTAGTATAATCAAATATTAAGCACATAGTAAAAAGGCATATGGTGAAATATAAACTAAAGTAGTTAAATATAACTTATTTAAAAATATTTAATATAATAAAATTGTCAAATAGTTGAAAATATGTGACGATACTGTTTATTTATTGGAATTAGTTGTGGCACCATGTTGCTTAGAAATGAACTATTATGAATAGACAAATTTTTATGTACATAAAATTACTTCAAATAGTTGAGTAGTTCTTCTTAATTAACTTAATAAAGACTTAAAATATAATTCAATCTTGAAATAGACCCATTTATACTTAATAATGTAAATTAAACCAAAATTAGTTATTTGTACCTTGGTTAATTTTATTTTTATATGTTATAAATTAATAAGATTATTTACTTATTGTAATTCATAATTCTCTTAAGTATTATTAATAACTTTTATGTTGCCAAAGTATTTAATATGTTTAGCACCCAAAAAAATCTGTTTTGTCTGAAAAATACTTAGCATTTTTACAATAAAGTATTTACTTATTTAATGGTTTGTTATAAAAGTCTGTCTTAAAATTGTTTGTATAATGAATTAATATATAAACTAGTAATGATAGTAATTATATATAAATATAATAATTATTATTATTAGTTATTTTACCATTACAGTTACTAGATGTTATAGTCATTTTATAGTTACTGGTATATTTAAATAAAAAGTTTTTCTGGTTGAAAGTCTCAACAAATAATTGCAGTTATATGATTAGTTTTTACTTAATAATTATTTCTAGTAGTTGTATTATTATAATTAATCATTTAGTTAGATAACTGAGATTTTTCTCCATATTTTAACATCTACATCACCTGGTTTAAAAATGGGATTTTCGGCATAATGACGTGGCTCTGTTATTACTCAAACAATATTAAATATGTAAAAGAATTTTATTTTTAGGAATGTATTCCGGTTTAAAATGTATTTGGAATCAAGATTGGGAAAGACAACAGCCACATGCTTAGTAGCAGTCCCTGCTCATTGAATTGAAAATTTGCAGATATTTTTTGTAGGTAACTTTTAATAGTTTTTGTTACTTTACTTTCTACATATTTGTAACAATAAACAGTGCTATTGCTCTTGTAATATTTCTTTCCTTAATATTTTTATTAAAAAAAATATTTTAAAAACCCTTTACTTAAACAATTATTCAATAAAGATTTGATTTGTAACTTACTAAAATTTCTCTGTCTATATTTCATCAAATCCTAATAAGCTATGTTAGAAAAGAAAATTCTCTTTTTATTTGTTTTTTTAATGAGAATAATGGGTGGATAGTTAAGCATTGAAACATTGTTATTAAATGTTTTTCATTATTTGTATTTATTTATTTTTTTTTATATTATTTTGTGTTGGCTGTTCTACATTGCTTTCTGTTTGAAAGTAACTAACCTATATGTGTATTCATTTTATAGTAATAGTTAATACAACTGATTTTCTTTTATTGATTATAATATTCACTTTTAGCTACTTGCTTTAAGAGTTTTCTATTTTATGATGGATGGTTTCAGTTGGTAATGTGTATTTATTTTTTATGTTGTATTAAACTTCCAAACCAAAAAAATTTAAATTTTCGTTTGTTATTTTTCCCACATATTTTAGATTTTCAACCAGAAAAATTAATTTTTATTTTTTTATTAGAAATAAATATATTTAATGTATCATTTTGACAATTAATGGATTCTAAGAATAATGATTAGCTATCGTTAGTATATACAATTATAATTATATATTTTTATTGTAATTAATAATTATGTCACTACTAATTTCAGCATTAAACAGTATATTAAACTTCTTTTTCAACATTAAAATTTTATCACTAATTCCATTTAAAAAACAAGAAAATGTTTTAACATTTTATGAGAATTAATGAAAATACTCCTTTTTTTCAATGATAATTTATTCATAATTTTATGCTGTTGTAATATTTTTTTCAATTTATGTTTTTTTTTAAATAAAAGGGAAGGACTAAATTCGATAGTTGAGTAATAAGAGTTAAGTGTAAATATTTCACTATATCCTTCATTATGGACCACAGCTTCTCTTTTGGGTTGTGTTTCTTGTGTAAGGAATGCAAAAATAATCACATAACTAGAAAATTTATAAATACCCAACACTTTTTATTAACAATCATAGGTTTTGTGTCTAACAGATAGTGATATGGTTTGTACAAATTTTTTAAAAATTAATACTGAATGATGTTATTTATTTAAAGTATATATTTTTATTTAATTATAGTTATAGATTGTGAAAACATTTTGAGAAACACTCCTCTTAATATCCCAAGTTAAGCTAATAGTTATTTATTTCAAGCTAATATATTATTTTGTTTCATATGAATAGTTAAAAATTTTAATTATTATTAAAGAGATAAATGAGTCATCAATATTGTTAAGATATAATTGAAAGATTTCAAATGCAAAATCTTGTATTTATAAAATATTGATAAAAATACTAACCTTCTAATGTTTCGCTATTTCAGGTATCCTCTGAATAGACAAAACAAGATCACATTAAATATAGCCTGTCTCACACCAACAATAAAAAAAAAAGACAAATCAACTGAAGGACTGTGCATCTTTCCAAGGCATCTAAACACATATTATCTTAACATCTGAACACATTCAGTATGTGTCAATTGTCTCTAGTTGATGGCTTTTTTTTTTTAGTCTGTTGATGTGAGATGTTCTATATTTGGTTTACATATATATATATATATATATATATATATATATATATATATATATATATATATATATATATATATATATCATCTTTTTTTTCTGTCTTGAATATTTCTGAGTTGGCAAAATGTTGACAGATTAGTTATTTACCAGACTTTTTACAGATTCAAGGCTATGTGTTTAGAATCTTCTAATTATATTCTAACAATTTATTTGTGGTGGTGCTTTTTAATATATATTATATCATGAGCCAATGTATCCAAATTACAGTGAATTAGGCAAACTTATGTCGATTTCATACTTATGTTTTATGAAATAGGCTCATGGATCTTCGGATAAGTTTAAGAACAAGCCTTTATGTTAAAATATCTGGTGCCCACTCATCTGACTTCCCTTACTGCTTTAGAAGCAATGTTTAACACAAAAATTCTTCTTCTTCAATAACACTACAACCTGTAAAGGGTCCTGGCTTTTACCAACAGTAACCACCATGCATCTCTATTTATGAAAGTCCATATCCGAGGCACTTGTGGGAGGTTTCATGATTGTATTATTCCTGGCAGTGGGATAATAAATTCTCTCTACATGCCCTAGTATGCTGGTGGGGCTGTCACGTCAGTGACTACATGCACTCCCTCCAGGGCGGCCACCTATGGAAGATGTTCCTAGGGTGTGAATTGTTGATGACCTTAGCTGTAATGTGGGGGTGTGGGTAGTGTGCGATTTTAGTGTACTGTGTGGGTGTCAGTAGTAGTTTCAAGATTGGGTGATAGGATTGCCTATTCCCATTTGCCATGAATACAAAAATTATTTGCTCTACTGTTGCTAATGGTCAGATTGTTTTTTTGTTTTATTTTTATGTTAGCTTTGTAAACAGTTTAATTATCTTTCAAATCAGCACCAGGAATATTCTGGGAGACCTATAGATTTCAAATTATTCATATTTTTTTTTAAATAAGCGGATTTCTATTAGATCATGTCCAGAATACTTTAATAAACATGAGTACGAAGTCCTCAAATATTAGTAATGTATTAGCTAAATTTAATAATTTTATTAAATATAGATAATTTTATTTTTATTTATAGAAAATTTAATTACCTTTTATTTGGTTGTGTAGAACATTCCATCACATTTATATTTTTGATTTATCTGCTACTAGAATTACTTTTCCTCATTACATTTTTCTTGTTTTTGTAGATACAAAGATTATTGATAACCAGTTACAGAATGTTTGTTCCAATTACAATGCTTACCTTAAGTAAGGTAAAAAGTTACCAAGATAACTGGTTAACTTACCTGCAACAGTTATCAAGATGTTATCATGGAGCAATAAAATTAAAAAAATGTTATATCATAATATGCACAATTTTCACGGTCCTATTTTATCTTAAAGGCTAAAGGCCACAGCAAGGTCTTTGTCCATGAAAGAGCTAACACAGACTAAATCAATTACCCACAACAACCTTCAACTAACTCAATACTGCTTAACCACTTTGTTGAAACCTTAAAGAGTATAAATGTTAATTTTCATTTCTCTCTCTCTCTCTCTCTCTCTCTCTCTCTCTCTCTCTCTCTCTCTCTCTCTCTCTCTCTCTCTCGTGAACATAGTGATAAATTTTAATCATCTTGAAACTTTAAATTAAAAACAGAGTTTTTGTGATATTCTCTATCATACCTATATGTACCACCACATCCCATGAAGTGTTAGGTTCAGTACTTTGTAAGGAAGACTTCTCTATTTGAATTTACATTATTTTACAGGAACTAATAGGTTTATGTTATCATATTACATTCAATTTATGTTTTCTAGTTTTTAATGTTTTAGTAAAACTAGTAAAAATTATAACTAAAGTTTTTATTATATCTTATTTTTTAACATTCAGTAGAATTGTATACAATATATTCAATAAAACTTTGTTTTGTTTTTTAAATGTATTATTTTATTTTTAGTGTGAAAAATTGAGAAGAAAACGGTCGAGTTTAGTTGGAGCATTTGTTTCAACTCATGGAAAATCCATCGATGAAGTTGATCGTAGCATTGTTGATGCAAGGTATTCTAATTTTATCAGCATCTATCTTTTCAAATTCCGATTGAATTCCCCTTCATTTAGTGTTTCACTTTAAATTAATTATTATTGAAGTTGACAACTGTAAATATAATAAATTACCTATTCCATAGAAAATTTTAAGATAAAATCTGGTACATTTTAAATACCAAGATATTTCTTAATGGCCATACTCATAATTAAATACCAGATTATTTATTTTTCAATTAATTTTAAGTTTTTGCTATTATTATTATACCTCCTCTTCTCCCAAAATAATTAGCTATAGCTATAGAAGTGAAAAAATATACTTTCAAACACCTTACACCTTGTATGCATTTTGGATGTATGCACCATTTTCTGTTGAACTTTTAAAATTAAAAAAAATAATGTGTTATAATTAAAGTTTATAATAACGAGGAAAAAATTTATTTTAAACATTTTATTAATGCTTTAATTCATTTTAAACATCTTGAAAACGTTTCGGGCAAAATGATATCTATATTATAATTCACAATAATTATAAATATATATGTAAAAAAAATATAACAGCACATAAAAACAATAAAACAGAAATCCAAAATATTAAATCAATGAATTATATCTTCCCTTACAGTTTATTTTTTTATTTTATTTTTTTTATTTATTATTTTTTTTTTTTTTGGTTGGCACTACAGACCAAGAACATCTTTGGCCACGAGATGTGGTCTCCTTACAGACATGTGATACTTGCAGGAGCTCAGATGGCCTGGAGGGGTTCACCCAACCTCATGTTGCTACGAACCATGGTTTTCATGGTGCAGTGGCAGGCCACCCGTAGCTCCATAGCCGATCCCTTTGGGGCCAATCTGGCAATGTCCTTCCCACCGACTTTCTCGGGTTCAAGGACAGTGGCAAATCGGTCTAGATCCATGGATTATGGCTGCTCAGAGTCAGCAGGCGCACGAGGACCTATATTTCTTTCCCCGAAACAGACCGTCCATGGACCGAACCTCAGGGGGGCTATTAACATCCTGGTAAACCACATCCCGATTCCCGATTTAACTACACGGGGTAGGGTCATCAGTTCTAGGTGTGAGTTGCATCCAGTGGGCTGCCGGGCCTCACATACCCGGAGGGAGGGGAGAGACTCGGGCAACATGGCTTTCCCTGGTGGACGTTCACCCAGATCGGGCGGTCACTCATCCAAGTACTAACCACCTATTACCTATTGCAAGCGCCTTAGCCCGTACGGCTACCCTAACCCCCTTCTTTCCTTACAGTATGATCATATAATCCATCAAAACACAATTCTATATCATTATTGTAAAAAAAATATCCTTAAATCAAGTTATCACTTTATATAATTCACAAATTCTCTTTGAAATGGACAAATCTAAAAAAATAAATAATTAAGAAAAACAAACAAAAAAATTGTACAAATAAGAAAGTGCCAAAAAACACTTTATCACATTAAAAACATATTAATTATTGTTTATTAGGTAATTTACCAGTGGACAGTCAAAAATAAAAATTATATGACAAGTATTTCAATGTTAAAACATTTTCATCCTATATAAATAAAAGCCTCATGTCCACTGTGAGCTTTGGGCTTACCAATTATTTTGCTCATTGGGATTAAGAGTACTGCATTTTAAATGATTTTAAGTTTCCAGTTTCAATAATAATTGAGCTAAAAATAATTATTTAAAATTTTAATTTATTTATTATGTCTCCCTAATGTTGGCCAATCCTCTTAATATCTGTTTTAAAATTAATAACATTTTTAATATTTTTAGTTATATAAATAGATTCCAAAATTTTCCTTATTTTATTATCCTCAGCCCTATTTAAAAATTCTTTTTTCTCATAATCAAAAATATGATTATTCATAATACTATGCCTTGATATAGCTATCCCATTGATATTTTTTGGTATTTATTTTATGCTGATTTATTGTTTTCATGTGCTGTTATATTCTTTTAACATATATATTTATAATTATTGTGATTTATATTGTAGATATAATTTTCGACGTGCAAAATTGCCCGAAATGTCGTCGAGATGTTTAAAATGAATTGAAGCATTAATAAAATGTATGAATGAATTAATGAAAACATGTTTATTGTACTTTAAAAAAAATTATAGTGTAAAATATATATATATTTACACAAGCAACAACACATAGACAATAGAAAATTCTGTCTGTCAAGGTCTGTGTGTAATTAATAATAAATATTTATTACTCTTATAACTAAAATAAGTGAGTAATAATATATCTACAGTATTATTATATATTTATACATCCATTCTAGCAATTTCTTCCTTCACTGTTTCATTTGTTTAAATAGAGTTTTCACAAAACAAACATCAATACATCATAAATCCAATAAACAAGAAATTTAATTTCAACAATAATAAAAACCATCAAATACAATATAACAATAAAACAAATGTTACAATGAATAAATACGATATTGTATTAATAGTTTACTATCTGACCAATTGAGATCTTTTCAATGTGGCCTGCTATACATAATTGCTTAAGGCTTTGCAGTTAGAACCCGTTAAGAAACCAAATAATTCTTCCAGAGAACAGGTCCGCTCCCCAAAACATTTCTCTCTTAACTCACTGTACATGTGACAAGTCCCCAAAAAGTGAATGATATCCACTTTTTCTTGAGAGTTACATACTGAACAGCAATCGTTGTCCCCCACCATCCATGGTTTTACGCTTAAATCGAGCAATTCTGTCCTACATCAAAAAATTGACCCTATAGTCACAATATCGAAACTATCATTAAGATATGGTATACCAGTGCCCACTGAACATAGTCCTGCGTAAACAGAAAAACTTGAATGAAGACATTTTTCTAGGTTATTTTGTTTTTCTAAGTCCTCTACCCTATGTCTAACAACAGTCAATTTTCCGCGCAGATCAGCGATATTTGCAGTATCAAGATTAGTTTTACAACTATCCTCGAATTCTAACCACTTTTGGTACCAATAAACTCTCTTAGTTATCACCACTTTCGCTAGGATATATGGCAAACGAAAACTCTGCATCCCCAGCACTTTCAAAATATAGTCAAAATGAATTTTAAGTGTGTAGGAGTATATCGAGGCGGTTTCGTGTGCCAAAATATAATTAGGTGTATAACTTGGGAGACAGTAATTTTTTTATAAAATATCTTTTAAATTTTTCCAAAACTTCATAGGACTCGAAACCCCAAACCTGCCCAGCATAACTAATCACCGTCCGAGAGACTGAATTACAAACCATTAGTTTGCTTGAATAGGGGACATTTTTATTAGCTATGAAATTATGCCAGGTAGAATTTAGGCCAAATTTTGCATCACTCACTCTTTCAGCAAAGTGTCTTCCCAAGACCAATCTTGGAGTAATGACACCACCCAGATATTTATACTTCTTCCGAAGTTACACCTTTCATATGTGGATAGTCTACCTCCATTGCAAAAAACTATTATTTTTGACTTGGCTAAATTTATATGCAAGTTCCACATTTGGCAGTAATTCTCCAAGTGGTTTATCATACGCTTCAATTACCTGGGGAAGGGGCTAATAGTACTACGTCGTCTGCATACAATAAACATCTAATATTTACTCCTGCGATTTCTAGCCCCTCTTCCAAATTTTTGTGTAAATCGTTTATGAACAACGCAAGTAGCAAAGGACTAAGCATACAACTCTGTATTAACCCTACTGATGTTTCGAAAAAGTCAGTTAGTTCTTTATGATATACAGTAGCCTTAATATTTGTATGTAAGCTTCTTATGATATTTAGGAATTTATGAGACAGCCAAGATTAGCCAACTTAAAAAACAGAGCCTCCCTATCTATACAATCAAACGCCGCTTTAAAATCAATGAAAAATGCATACACTTTATGACGTTCTTTTGCCAGAGTTAGTTTGACAATGCTAAACAAGCTGAAAATGTGGTCTACGGTTGAGTACCCCGGACGAAAAACCCGCTTGGAAATCATTTAATGTCATTTGTATTCACTCAGTTCCATAAATGTCCCAATAAAATTCCAGTATAATTTTGTAATTACATTAATAAAAGATATGCCCCTAAAATTTTCAACGTTATGGATATCTCCTTTTTTGAATAATGGGTAAATGACTGATTTAGTGAAGCTTTTTGGGATTCTTCCACTATTAAAGTAATGATTGAATATGTTAAAAATTTGTTGCAATACGCATTCTGGAGATTTTTTGAAAAATTCATACGGCACAGAATCGATTTCTGGCGCTTTATTATTTTTTGCCTTGGCCAATGCACATTTTAATTCGTCTAAACCTATTTCCCTATCTAGCTCAAAATTTTCCCATTTTGGGGTGGAATAAAATATTTGAGGAGCTTTTATAACAGGATTCAAGAATAAATCCAAGTAATGTCTAAACTGCTCACCTGTAATATTAGATTCACTGATAAAATTTGAAGTCCTGAATTGGTTTATTAGTGACCACAGATCTTTAGTATCTTTAATACATTTAAATTTTTCTTCAAGGGTCTTATAATACTCATTCAGTTTTTTTCTAACTAATTCTTTGTATTCATTATTTACCCTCAAGTATTGGAATTTATTATAAGCATTATTTCGTTTTCTAAAAATATTTAGAAATATAAAGATTTATTCCGGGATTTAATGCATTCACGGTCGAACCACTGCTGTTTTCCTAATTTTTTACCATTATTTATCTGTTTTTTATGAAGACCACATTCTATAATACATTCTAACAATAGTTTCAGTTTTAGAACTGATTCATTAATCTTATCTAATTTAATTTAATTTCTAATTTTGATTCAAAATACAATTCATCCTGCCTTGACCACCGCAATCTCTTAAGTTGGAGGGCTTTTCAATTCCTAACATTATTTGCATGACTGAAGTCCAAAACCAATTCAATAGGCATATGCTGTGTGTAAATTTTGGGAATAACTTTAAAATTTTGTATATATTTCAGAATAGGTGCAGATGCACAACAAATATCTATGACAGA